ATTTATTTTTTTTACTCTATTTGGCACTCAATATGGCTTTTAAATCTGAAGAAGCATGTCTTTCTTCAATATTTAAAATTTTTCTGCCATTAGGTCTTTGGTTTAAAAACTAATTTTTTTATTCATTATGGTTATAACTACTGTGTTATATTCTTATGCAACTCTATTGTAGTTTTTATACTACCCCCACACAAATTTTATTTCTATTTAACTTTTCATTTTTAAAATGAATGTACTGCCTTAGGCAAATCTGCTGCACAAGACTTCTTGAAAGTATTCAAGAGCAAAGATGTGAGTTTGAAGATTAATTTTTCTCATGTTATTGTGTACTTAATAGATTATAGTATAAGCATAACTTTTATATGTACTGGACAAACAAAACATTCATGTGACTCACTGTATTGAGATAGTCACTTTATTGTGGTGGCCTGGAACCAAAGCTGTAATATTTCTGAGATGTGCCTGTATCTGCGCAATGATTCCTATTGTTTTGCTATGTGGAAGCCAGGTCTTCATTACTAAGGTTGTTGTTGTTGTTAAGTGCCGTTGAGTCGGTTCCGACCCATAGCGACCTTGTACAGGGTTTCCAAGGTAAGACATTGCTATTGCCCTGAGTTGCTGGGGCAGCACTAAACCGGTTGCATAGAGATTCCCAGTACTAACTGCATATCAAAGTCAACAGGAAAACTTTATGAACTTTAGAAGCTCAGGGTCCTACCCTAATGGATTCCGACTTAGTAAGTCTGTCATTTACCACAGGTAAATTTGGTGAGTGGCCACTGAGGTAAGTGTAAGCAGAACTCTTGACTTAGGTTTCTTACTGGCATGAAATTACTCTTATCTTATAACACCCAAATCACTGTAACTACAGAAGTTAGAATCAGAGACTCTCTAGTAACTGAATTGGTTTTAGAGCTTCCTACCGTTTGAAACTACCAGTGGTTCCGTGGGGGAAAGATGAGGCGTTCTGCTTCTGTAAAGATTTACGGCCTTGGAAACCCTGTGCAGGGTCACTATACTTAACAACAACAATAACAACCATAATGGGTCTATGGAGCTCTGATAGTGTAGTAGTTACAAATCGGGCTGCGAACCTCAAGGTCAGCAGTTTGAAACTACCAGCTGTTCCACTGGAAAAAGATGGGGATTTCTGCTCCCATAAAGATTTCCAGGCTCAGAAACCCTGTACAGGGTCGCTATGAGTTGGAATCAACTCCATGGCACATAACCACCATTACCAACATAATGGATCTAGCACACTGAGTGTGGGTACACCCACAACATTATGTCTCCCAACAGTTCTGTATCACTGGGCAGTTCAAATAGCCCATGAAGCCCAATCTAAACCAGGGATCAACAACCTTCCTGTAAAGATGCAGGTAGATAGCAAATCATTTAGACTTTATGGGCCCCAGGAGTTCCTGGGTGGTGAAAATCATTAAGCACTTGATTTCTAAGTGAAGGTTTAGTGGTTCAAACCCACTCAGAGGCATTTCACAGGAAAGACCATGTGATCTGCTTCTTTAACACTTTATGGAGTACAGTTCTACTTTGCAGCACATGGGGTTACCATGAGTTGGAATTGACTTTACTCAATGGCAATTGGTTGCTTGGTTGGTTTTTTGGGTTTATGGACTGACCGTAAGATCTCTATTTCAACTATTCAATGCTGTGTTTGTCACCTAACAGTAGCCCTAGACAATGTTGTTGTTGTTGTTGTTAAGTGCCGTCAAGTTGGTTCCGACCCATAGTGACTCTGTACAGGGTTTCCAAGGCTGTAAATCTTTACGGGAACAGAAAGCCTCATCTTTCTCCTGTAGAGCGGCTGGTAGTTTTGAGCTTCTGACCTTGCAGTTCATGGCCCGATTCGTAACCACTACGCTACCAGAGCTCCTTACAATAGGTAAATTAATAAGCAAGACTGGGTACCAGAAACTATATATTTATGGACTCTGAAGTTTGAATTTCATATGCCATAAAATTTTACGTGTCATAAAATTTCACATCACAAAATATTTTTCTCTTGAGTTTTTTCAACCTATTAAAATATGAACATCATTTTTAGTTCACCAGTTATAGGTGACTTGCCTACTACTATTCTGGACTGTCCAATATTTGTTCCTGACACCAGCATTCCCTTTCTTTTCTTGATGAGCACTTGGTGTCTCTTGGGTCAGAAGTGTCTGGTCTCTCCCTGAGCCAACCTCTGCAGTCATACCTGCTTCACATAGATCCCTTGCTTCCCTGACTCTGACCATGAAATCTGCTGTCCTACAATAGCATGGTTTTCCTTATAATTCTTTGCATCAAACTTTAGATCAGTAAAGCATTTTCATTTTCTTGTTAGTCATTGCCACGTGATTCTCTTAAAATGAAGAGGACTAATCACACACTATGCTATTTTAGAATATCCAGCCCTTTAGGCATGCTGGAGAACCTAGGATTTAGTACTAGGTTTATATGTGCACATTTTGGTAAGAAACTAAAGTCATTTTCATCTCTAGAGAGTTTCTGATTCTAAGTCCTGTAATTATAATGATTTGGGGTATCATTAGATGAGAGTAGTCTTATGCTAATAAAGAACCTAAGTCAAGAGTCTGCTTATACCTGTCTCAGTGGCCACTCACAAATTGTACCTGTGGAGCTAAAAAAAAAAAATACAGATAGTCAGAAACCGTGGTGAAAGGCCCTTTGCATCCAGTTTATAAAGTTCCCCTGTTGGCTTTCATATGCAGTCAGGACTGGCAATCTCTACGTAAACAGTTTTGTGCTGTCTCAAGAGCACAGGGCAATGGCAGTGTCTGACTCACCTTAGTAAACAAGAACTGGCTTCCACATAGCAAAAAATAGGAATCGTTGTATGAATACAGGCATACCTCAGCAATATTGTACGTTTGGTTCCAGACTATCACAATAAAGTGAGTCACACGAATGTTTTGGTTGCCCAGTGCATATAACACAGAATGGTTTAAAATTAAAATAGTTGAGTGCCAGAGTTGTATTCTTTCAACATACTATATGCTGATCAAATAATTGGCAAAGCTGGATTGTTGTTGTTAAGTGCCATTGAATCAGTATTGACTCATAGTGACCCTGTATAGGGTTTCTGGGAGCGGCTGGTAAGTTTGAATCACCAACGTTGCAATTCAAAGCGACCTTGCAGTCCAACACATTACATGAAGAAAAATGTGGCATCAGGGTTGGAAGAAGAATTATTAACAACCTGTGATATGCAGATGATACAACCTTGCTTGCTCAAAGTGAAGAGGACTTAAAATATTTCCTGACAAAGATCAAAGACCACAGCCATAATTATGGGTTGCACCTCAATGTAAAGAAAACAAAAATCTTTACCACTGTACCAATAAATAATATCAAGATACATGGAGAAAAAAATTGAAGTTGTCAAAGACTTCAGTTTACTAGATCAACCATCAACACTCATGGAAGCAGCAGTCAAGAAATCAAATGACGTATTGCATTGGGCAAATCTGCTACACAAGACCTCTTGAAAGTGTTCAAGAGCAAAGATGTCAGGTTGAGGACTAAGGTATACCTGATCCAAGCCATAGTATTTTCAGTAACCTCATATGCATATGAAAGTTGGACAATGAATCAAGATCGTAGAAGAATTGATGCATTTGAGTTATGGTGTTGGAAGAGAATATTAAAAGTACCAAGAACCACCAAAAGAACAAACACATCTGTGTTGGAAGATGTACAGCCAGAATATTTCTTAGAAGCCAGGATGATCAGACTTTGTCTCTCATACCTCAGACATATTGGATATATTAGGAAGGATCAGTCCCTGGAGAAGGACATCATACTTGGTAAAGTGAGGGTCAGTGAAAAAGAAGAACCCCAACAAGATGGATTAGCACAGTGGCGGCAGCAACAGGCTCAAGTATATCAACGGTTGTGAGGTTGTTTTCTTTTGTTCGCATAAGATTGCTATGAGTTAGTAACTGTCGACTCATGGCACCTAACCATAGCAACAACAAAGTTATGTTACTTTAGTCTATTAAGTACGCAATATGTTGTTATTGTTAGGTGCCATCAAGTTAGTTTCGACTCATAGCGATCCTGTATAGGGTTTCCAAGGAGTGGCTGGCAGGTTGGAACCAGCAACCTTGGGGCTAAAAGGTTTGAAATATTCTGAAAATTTCCAAAATGTGACACAAAGTGAGCACATGCTATTAGAAAAACAATGCTGATAGACTTCTGAACTCAGGACTGCCACAACCTTCAATTTGTGCAATGCAATAAAGTGAAATGCAATCAAATGAGACATGCTTATACATGAATGAATAAATTGCCTTTAGTGACAAAGACGAGTATGAACAATAGTCTGTTGTGTTGTTTTTTTTAAAGGGATTGGGCAGGAGGTAATCACTGTGGAATACTACTACAAACACTTTAATATGCTTTCCACCCTGGAAACCAAGTGGATCCTTTAGATGGTTGCTTTAGTGCACTTTGTCTAGTTCATGCTCATTAAGTCTACTTCTGCAATAAATCTACCGGCTCCTGAACATAAGTAATGCTGTGTTCTTATTACCTGTGGAGCCATGACTAGGCTTCTTACAATGTTTGCTTCACCAAGGACAAGTGATTAATTTATATAATTGCAGCTAACATACTGGTTGTTGTATCATAGGATAACATTTCACAGATTCCTTCAATAGCTGAATGAGATCAGCACTACTTATCAGCACCATCAGTGATTCTTTAGTGGAACATAGCTCTCATTTTATTTTTAAAGATGATAAAAACTTCAATTTTCTGATTTAAAATTTTTAATCTCCTTGGATATTTGATACAATGAATGTGTTCTGAAAAATATAAATGGTATGGGTGATGATGATCATTACAGACTCTTATCCAAAAGTATCTATCAAAACTCATTGTTATACTGGCATGGAGGTCTATGGTTGACTTAGATAAAGACAAGGAGTAGGAGAAGATCTTATGTTCATATTCATACAAAAAGCACCATTTACCTTCGATGGAGGAACAAACTGAACACACTCCAGCCACATGGTTAGAAAGGATTTTCCACATATTGCACATTCTTTTCTCTGAGAGAGTATATTCCTGATGTGTGGGTAGCCTACTATGGCTTGCATTATTAAAGGATTATTTTCTGCTAGGTGATTCATTACAAATCTTGATGCTATTTCCTAGATTAAAAAAGAAGAACATGGTTCCTCAGATTATTTTCAAAATCAGTCTTTGTCACTAATTGATTAACATTTCACTAATTTATATTTTTTTGGCCTATTCCTCAGAGTGTCTGTTAAATTGAGATACTAAAGTATATAAAATATTCCATAAGTGATTGACATTGTAAATAAATTCAGGTTAATCAAATAAGGAAAGTAAGTAACTAGCATTATATCTGTGGTTCTTACAAACAGAAACCCAAGTCATAATACATTTATATCATATATTTATAAAATTAGCTCTAGCTAGGCTCCAATTTGGTACCTATAATTACAATAAGCAAGGATTGTGTAAAAGTTCAGACTGGAAGATTCAAAAATTGAGTCTGTCATGTTGCTGTTGTCGGATGCCATCAAGTTGGTTCCGACTCATAGCGACTCTGTAAAGAGTTTCCGAGGCTTTTAAATCATTATGGGAACAGACAACCTCATCTTTCTCCTGTGGAATAGCTGGTGAGCTTGAACCATAGACCTTGTGGTTCACAGTCCAGTGCACATGTCTAAACTGTTGCTAATTGTGGTTCATGAATTAATAGTATCCTTACTAGGTAGTAGCTTTTCATAACTGTAGACTCACCCCCACCTCGGACCTAATGAGTTAGAATTTACAATGTGATAAAGACTACAGGCAAACCATACACATTAAAAGTCTGATAAGTGCTAATCTAATTTATTTGCTGCAGTGAGTACCTGAATACATCATCTTAGAAAAAATTAGTAACGACTATGAACAAAGCTTTTATTCAATTTTTATTAACCCTATCCACACAAATATGTCCAGAAACAAACTGACATATATATTTTTTATTTAAATACATATAAATATGCATATATACGTATATATTTTAAATCCTGATAGCACAGCTTCTACCATCACAACTCATATATATGTGAGTTCTGTTGTGGAGCTTCAGGATAATGCACTGGACCTCAAGGTCAGTTTGAACTACAAGGTTGGTGGTTCAAAGCCACCAGCCTCTCTTTGGATAACCTATACAGGGTTGCTATGAGTCAGAACCAATTCAGTAGCACCTTAAAATCATCAACAGCATATACATATATCTTTAGTAGTCCTGGTACAGAGCTGTTACATAAGCACTGGAATGCTGTAAACCTCAAAGTTGGTGGTTCAAACCCACTAGCTGCTTCTTGGAAACGCTATTCAGGGTCACTGTGAGTTGGAATTAACAGTCCACAGACCAGTTTATTTGAGACTTATTCCTTGCCAGTTTTTCTATATGAAATAAGATTTCCACAGTGGTTTCAAAATATTACACATCAGTCTCTGCTATAATCTCTGGGTATAAATACATACATACATAATATTTCATCCATTCATCCTAATTAAAATCTTAAACAATTTTTAAAATACAACAAAATCTCGTAGATTGCTATCTCCTTGTTCCTGAATATTCTCATCTTTCTCCCGCGGAGCAGCTGGTAGTTTCGAACCACTAACCTTGCGGTTCACAGCCCAATTCATAACCACTACGTTAGTATAAAAGGAGCTCTGGTAGCGTAGTGGTTACGAATTGGGCTGTGAACCTTAAGGTCAGCGGTTCGAAACTACCAGCCGCTCCGCGGGAGAAAGATGAGGCTTTCTACTCCCGTAAAGATTTACACCCTCGGAAGCCCTGTACAGGGTCGCTATGGGTCGAAACCGACTCGACGGCACTTAACAACAACAACAACACGCTAGTATACACAAACACATAGGAGTAGGAGAGACAGAGGGCATGTGATGATCTATCTAACTGCAAGCACCTAGGGAACATCTAGGGAACACCAAAGACCCTGGGGCTAACAAGTAAGGACTCTGCCTAAGAGCTGGTTCTCGAATTTGTTTTTTTTAGGTTTGAAAACTATGAGATAATGTTCTTGAAAGCCACCGATTTTGTGGTATCTTTTGTTAGCGTTGTTGCTGTTGTTAGGTGCCATTGAGTAAGTTCTGACCCATAGTGACTCTATTACAACAAAACGAAATACCAACTGGTCCTGCACCATCCTCACAACTGCTGCTATGCTTGAGTCTCTTGTTGCTGCCACTGTGCCAATCCATCTCGTTGGGGGGGGTCTTCCTCTTTTTTGCTATCCTTCCAACTTTACCAAGCATAACGTCCTTCTCCTTTGTTAGAGGAGCAGTAGGAATCTAAAACAATACATTTTTTTAGGGTCCTGATAGCACTAAATTGGAGTCCTGGTAAAGTGCTGTAGGATAAGCACTAGACTGCTAACAGCCAAGTTGGCTGTTTAAACCTACCAGCCACTCTCAGAAACCCAAGACAGGGTCACTATGATGGCACTTAACAACAATAGAGGACTAAATTCATTAATTTTTATTAAGTGTGTAGCACAGAACTTTGCCCAAAATAAGCTTAAAGTAAGTGTTAGTCATCATTATTCTGAAATGATTACTACAAGAAGAATTAAAAAGTTATACTGGATTAAAGAAATTAAGTAATACAGTTTTAAAATCATTTACATCTCAACTTCAAATAAGTTTTCTTTTTTTTCGCACATGAAACTAATAGAGAATGCTGTTTTTGAAAATATAGATTGATTTTTAGGAGGATATTTCACAATAGCTAATTAAAGCTTTAAAAGCTGCTAGTTCTCGGGCCAGAAATTTCACTGGTAGGCATAATATGAATGTGAGCCAGAAATTCACTAAGAAGATGGTCACTGAAGCTAGCCTTGTATATAAAGGCCAAACAGTCAGAAAAGTGTTAATAATAAAAATGTCCAACAGTAGTGAAAATAGCTAGCCAAATTATGGTATAATCATGTGACAGAATATATTCATCAAAAAAAGATGTTTATTTTCACTGATATAGAAAGATATTAACAATATCTTGAGTGAAAAAAAGTAAATCCCTAACTAGTATGCACAGTTTGAACTCATCTTTAGTTTTAAACAAATTATGGGCACATAGAAACCTATGGAAGAATAAAAGTCAAGGAAAGAATAGTGAATGTGTCTGTGAGTACTGGATATCATAGAATTTAACAACTTAGCTTATTTTTTTCCTAAATTCTCTAAGTTAATTTAGGAACTTTTTTCATTTAGAATTTTTTAAAATTCTGTTTACTAATTTTTTTTTTTTTTTTAGCCTCCTTGCTACTGTTCTAATTTTCTATACTGACCGTGAATTATTTGTTAAAATAGCAGGGTTTTTTTTTAATACATTAAACCATTCTGGTGTTGTAGGATAAGCACAGGACTGCTAACCACAAGGCTAATGATTCCAAACCACCAGCTGCTACTCAGAAACCCTATTCAGAGTCACTATGAGTCCAAACCAACTCTACAGCACTCACCAACAATAAACGATTGAACAAAGTTAGCTGTTTCCTGCATCCAGGAAACCTGAATCCTTACAATTCTGGAAACCTGAATTCCAGAAAATGTTAAGACAATCCCTTTGTGCTCAGTTATAAACCCAAATGGATCTGGAAAGTCCAAATGTGTGATGGACAATCATAATTGTGAAAGGATCAGCAATGTTTAACTCCTGTACTATCAGAGGCACACAAAGAGGGGCCTTTGATATTTTTGTCTATTCCTTCTGTTAATATCATCAAATTGTTTCACTAAAAGTGAACTTGATTTCTAGATTATATTTACTCATCCGCCTAGGAAGGGAACAAGTGAAGAAGAAATAAAAGAGGCAAGAGTATCACTTAGGAACAAATCAAACACATCTTTTAAAATACTGAAAAAATTACTTGGAAGGTTAAAGAGAAAATAAATTCCTCTGTTTTTCTAAAAAAAAAAAAAAAAGTCTATGTTTTTTTTTAATTTGGTCACTTTAGGAATCAGAGAGGATTAAATCAAATTCTGTAAAGATAAATAGATTATGAGTAGGATCTTCATGGCCACTGGACTGGTGTTTCATTAATCATTTGCTGGCTTGGTTAGAATGGTTAAAAGAAATCTCTTTAGCTTTGAAGCCATGGCTTTAATTTGAAGACTTGTGAGAATCATCTAAACCTTTACCAGTAGACTCCAGACATCCTCCTGATCCACAGCATGAACTGGCTGCTTCAGAAGCAGTGGGTTCCCTTCACAGTAGAATTCCTTCAGCTTCAGGTTCTGAAACTTTAAAACAAAAGAAAACCTTTATTTCCTGACAAATTAGTATATTTCACCTCTGAGGCTACATCTTCCATTAAATTGCTACAAAGTAGGATTTCTAATCCACTCCTTGGATCCAACTAGAAGGCACTTAGCAACCACAACAACATTCCACATTAAAGATCTCTGGTGATGTTGTGGGGTAAGTATTAGACTGCTAACTGCAAGGTCAGCAGTTCAAACCCACCAGCTGTTCTGTGGGAGAAAGCTGAGGCTATCTGCTCCCAGAAAGATTTATAATCTCAAATAATTTATATAGGGTTATACATAATCTCAAATAATCTATATAGATTGCACTCAATGGCAATGAATCTATTCAATGGCAGTGAATTTGTCAGTATTCCGCATTAGTAGTCTAATATTGATACTTACTGTACTGTTAATCTCTTAAGAATTTTCATGTAAAGAAAATTTGTTCAGGGTCATTTAACTGGTTAATAAGATAGCACATAAAATAAAATAATAGCAAAATTAATCAAGTACTGGGAATATTTTTCAAATACTGTATTGGTTGAAGAAATAAGTATGATTAAATGACATAGAGGAACTCAAAAGTATACTTCTAAGTGAAAGCAGCCAATCTGAAAAGGCTAAACACTACATGGTTTCAAAATTTTGGACTTTAGCAAATAATAATGTATCAATATTGGTCTATCAAATGTACCACAGAATGCATGATACTAGTTGTTGTTGTTGTTATGTGCCGTGGAGTCAGTTCCAACTCATAGCAACCCTCTACAAGGTTTCCAAGGCTATAAATGTTTACGGGAGCAGAAAGCCTCATCTTCCTCCTGCGGAACAGCTGGTAGTTTCAAACTGCTAACCATAAGATAAGCAGCCCAACTGCTAACCACTATGCTGTGGAATAGCCTCTAGACATAAGATATCCAACCTCAGACGTACAAGACCATATCAAGACACATCTTATTTGTGAGGGGGATTGGCAGCTGGAGGGAGATGAAGGTTCAAATGAAGATTTTTGTTATTATTTTGAAGATGAAGAAGACTTGAGTATGTTGAAGGTAAGGGCAACTCACAAGCCACCACAGTACAACAAACTGACAAATGAGTGGTGGTTGTTTGTAAAGATTACAGCCTTGGAAACCCTATAGAGCAGTTCTATTTGGTCCTACAGGCTCACTATGAGTTGGAATGAACTAGACTAGACAGCAATGGATTTTTTGTTGTTTGTTTTTGATAGAAAGAATGGGAGGCCTTGGATAGTCCCATCAACTCACTCAGTTGAAGGTTTGAGTCTACCCAGAGGCAACACAGTAGAAAGGCATGTTGATCTACTTCCAAAAACTCAACAACTGAAAACCTCATGGAGTATAGTTCTACTTGGCACACATACATACGGTCACTGTGAGTTGGAGCCAACTCAGTAGAACTTGGTTTAGTATAAAGAACAACTGATCTGGGAGTGCTTGTTTGTATCACCTCATAATCCATCCCCCATACGTACTTTAGACCTCACCTCTGACTTGAACTAGCTGAAAACCAGTGGTGGTGGTGGTGATGTGTGGAGTCAGTTCCGACTCATAGCGGCCCTGAACAGGGTTCCCGAGGCTGTAAATCTTTATAGGAGCAGAAAGCTTAATCGTTCTCCCATGGAACAGCTGGTAGTTTCAAACTGTTGACTTTGTGGTTCATAGCCGATTCATAACCACTACACTACCAGAGTGTTAGCCTGAAGAAATCTCTGCTTATACTCTGCCTTGCATCTCCTACCCACTGGTTTTTCACAACGTAAATTTCTTACATTGTAAATTAGATCATATTATTCCCATGGATCAAAAAACACTCTAATGGTTTCTTATCTCAAAGGGTAAAGTATATTCTTCACTCTGACTTACCGGGTTCTAATATTTCTGCTGTTGTTAAGTGCCCCCAAGTTTGTTCTGACTCATAGTGATCCAATATAGGGCTTCCAACTTGGTAAATCCTTTAGTGAGCAGAAAGCCTCATCTTTCTTCAATGGAGCAACTGATGGACTTGAACCACCAGCTTTGTGGTTCTCAGTCAAGTCCTACAAAGCCACTGCAACATCATAGGGTCCTAATGGTAGTGGTGGTTATGTGCCATGGAGTCAGTTCTGACTCACAGCGACCCTGTACAGGGTTTCTGAGGCTGTAAATCTTTACAGGAACAGAAAACCTCATCTTTCTCTCCACAGAGCAGCTGGTATTTTCGAACTGCTGACCTTGAAGTTAACATGACAAACTCCTTCTACCCGAGCTCCTTGGTGGAAGTGGCGGTGTGTCATGGAGTCGATTCTAACTCATATTGACTCTGCATCAGGTTTCCATAGCTGTAAATCTTTACGGCAGCAGAAAGCCTCATCTTTCTGCCATGGAACAGCTGGTAGTTTTGAACTTTTGACCTTGAGGTTAGCAGCCTGACTCACAACCACTAGGTTACCAGAACTCCCTATAGGGTCCTAATATCACCTAGTAAATAATACAAAGTAATGGCAAGATAAAAACAAAAAGCTATTTCCTTGCATACCAAAATATTCACCTCACTTTCATACACTAATTATATAGTCTGAAAACTCAAGAACACTTTCCTTCATGTTTGTCCCAACTCACTCCCTAATTATAAAGGAAGTCATCTAAATTAATTAGAGAATAAAGTATTTCTCAAATGCAACTAATTAGTGGTTGTCTGGCTGTTGTTCCAAGTAAACCAAGAAGAGGGGTCATGCAAATTGTAGCAAACATTCTTTCAACTTTTACAAAAAGAAATGAAATATTCCTCATTCCTGAGCCCTTTCTAAACACTTAGAAAATACAAGAATAGGTAGTGAGAAGTCAAAAACTCTTTGTGCTATGTTTTTACATCTAAGAAAAACTAGAGATGAAGATTGAAAAGAAAGAGCAATTGAGGAGAGGATTTCACAAAGTTCATGAAACCATGGAATTAAAAGATAATGAAAGTTTTCAAACGAGCTTTTTGGAAACTCCCTCGTTACGTTTTGTTTTTAATGCTACAATTCCACTATGAGACACAACAGCTCCCTGTTACCTCCAGGGTCACAGACCAGAAGATTCAGTTTCATTTCTCGTTTCCTAACATTCAGCTTTGGAAAAGCAGTTTTCCACATTTCAACGGGATTGCTCATCGCCTGTTAGTTGTATGTACTGTGATGTTTCAAACAGTGATCATACAAATCTATATAATGGCCTGATACTGTTGGTATCAAAAGAGTCTTGCATTAAAATGCATTTAACATAATAATCCTTAAGTAATTATCTTGGATTATGATTTTTATTAAATGCATTTAAATAAATGTAGTTAGATCCTGTCATAATTTAATGCAAATAAAATGGAATATGCAATGTAATATTTGCCCAAGATTATAGCTAAGAATCAGGTCAGATGAAAAAGGAGAAAAATTAATTGTCAGACCTTTCATATAATACTGCACAAATAACTTAATAGAGATTATCCAAAGCTTATTTTAAAAGCCTGTTAACATTTACACTTTTTTAGGATTAAGGTTCTTTTTACATTAATTGTAAAAGGTTATTTTATGTTAATTGATACAGTACACAAGTATATAGCATGTCAGTTTCCAGATCATCCATTCAAAATTCAAAATTCAAAATTGCCATCCATAGTACTCTTTGTATGCAAGTCATTCAGTCCTTTATTTAAAATATACTGTAATTGGAGTCCTGGTGTGGCGCTGTGGATTAATGCGCCAGACTGCAAATCCGTTTGAACTGCAAGGTCAGTGGTTCAAGCTCACCAGCTGCTCCTTGGAAACCCTATACAGGGTCGCCAAGGATCAGAACTGACTCGACAGCACTTCACAACAACAACAATAATTGGAAACAAAGTAATTTAGATCTGACTTTTCTCCAAAAATAAAAGAGAAAGAGTAGATTTTAAACCTGGGATACATTACCCAGTTTTTATTAAAGTAATCACATAGTTGGCTAACTATAAAAACAAGCAAACCAATTAAATAAAGCAAATAATATATCAAATGATTTTTAATTGATCTGTTTCTTTAAAAGATATGATAAAAAAAGGATGGTGCTTAAGACCAGAAGTCAGATAAACCACTAAAGAAAGAGTGCAAACGTGATGGGAGTTGGCAAATTAGATTCATATATATACAAATATACATATATACCTACATGTGTGTATGAGTTTCAATCTGCCAAGTGCCATCACATTTGCGGAATTTCTTGGCATGTATTTGCACATATTGTTGCTGTTAAGTGCCGTCAAGTTGGTTCCAACTCATAGCGACACTTTATAGGGTTGCCAAGGAAGAGCTAGTGGGTTTGAACCCCTGACCTTTCAGTTACTAGTCCAGTGCTTATCCTACAGAACCACACCAGAGGTACATACATATATAAAACACTAAATAACAACACACACACACACACATATATGTTGTTGTTTAATGCCGTTGAGTCAGTTCGAACTCACAGAGACCAAATGTAGGGTTTCTGAGTAGCAATTGGTGAGTTTGAACAGTTCAAACTCACCTTGCAGTACTGCACGAATCCTATAGCACCAGACCAGAAGTCCATATATAGATACATATATATTTAGAAGTCTTGATGTGGTACTGTAGGATAAGGCACTGGATTTGGTGAGAATTTTTGTTTTCTTTATATTGAAATGCAACCCATACTGAAAGCTGTGGTCTTTGGTGTTCATCAGTAACTATTTTCAGTTCTCTTCACTTTCAGCAAGCAAGGTTGTATCATATCACAGGTTGTTATAAATAACATAACATCATGAAAAGCGGAGAAAGATTGAAGTTGTCAAAGACTTCATTTTGACTGGATCCACTATCAATTCTTATGGAAGCAGTGGTTAAGAAATCAAATGATGTATTGCATTAGGCAAATCTACAGCACAAGACCTCTTTAAAGTGTTCAAGAGCAAAGATGTTAGTTTGACAACTAAGGTGTGACCAACACAAGTCATGGTATTTTCAT